TATAAAAGGACGTAAAAACAATTATAGTCAAATGAAGGTTGAGGTATGATGATAGTAATATATATATATATATATATATATACACACTTAATTTAAAATATATGATTTGATATGAATTGTAGGTGATGACTGTGCAAGGGATGCACAGAAGTTTTTGCAGTCAATCAACACACTTTCTACAATTTGTAATGGAAGATGTTTTCGGGGTGGGGGTGGGCGGGTTGTGTGTTTTATCTGTTTGTGATTATTCAAAAATAAAAAAATATTTCTTAAAAGAAAGTTTAGCCATTTGTCAGAATTTCAGGCCAGGAATCAATTTGGAGACTTGGTACATGTAGTAGGAGAATTTGATTTGAAATACAATTTCGTTAGGTTTCATGCTATAGTATCTTTTTTCCTAAATAAAATGCAACGAAACCCATGTAAAAATAGTGGTCATGACACATGTCTTTGATTACATAATAATGGGAAGTTCCAGGTAGCCACGTTGGCAGTTTTGACAGATATGTGTGCTGTAGTACAAAAGAACCATTTTGTAGTTTGGATTTAGATGTTTGGTTAAAAAATAATCTTTTGAAAGAAGTAACTCTTTTGTGGCTCTGAAATAATTTTTTTCCTCAAATCAATCTTGGCTCCTGATAACATCATCAATACCTCCTGTAGTTTTTAAATAATTGTTCAGAATTTCCATTAATTCTTCTTCAGAATTTTCAAGCAAATGCTTCTCACAAATTATATGTACTTTAAAGATTTAGTAATCTCAGAATTCATGTATATCTTAATCATTTTTATGAAATTCTTCACCTCTTTTTATAGTTCTGAAAGCAGTCTGACCTTAGGATGCAATAAGTACTGAATGAATTAAATTCTAGGTATTTGCTAATTTCATAAAAGCTGTGACTTAGACATGCACTTTGTTCATAAATAAAGATGCATCAGTTGTGTTAATGATGCCATATTCTTTAGGGTAGAATCTGAAAAAAACATTTCCACTTAAGAGTTCAGCTAAACTGATTAATTTATCCAAATCCCCCAGCATTATAGAGAGCTTAAATTGTGATTAGTTACTCCTTTGGTCTGCGGGAACAGTAAGCTGAATTTCCCTTTCCTTATATGGATTTGGACAAATCGGTAGTTCAGTGCTGGAATGGTTCCCCTTGAAGCTTGGCTGCTAAGAAAGAGCCTGGATTCCTCCCGATCTATGGACATATTTCTTGGCTCTACCGGAGCTGGCTTTTGTAGCCTGGCTCGGCGCTCGATTACTTCAGCTGATCTCTCTCAGCTGGAGTTTTCGGCGCTCCACCGTCCCGCCTCGCTGCCGCCCTGCATGTGCCGGAGCCAAGATGGCGGCCTCCACCCTCTCTCAGTCCAAGGCGACAAAAGCGGTGGCGGCGGCGCGGCCCCGAGACGAGGAAGAGGGTGCGGGGCCGCCTTCGGAGGCCGGTAAGACCCTGGAAGTTAAAAGAAACCCTCCCAAAAAAAGGGGGGAAAGTCGGATTGCCCAGTAAGAAGGCCGATCTCGGCGTGACAGCTTTCATGTCGCTTCCCTCTTCGGATATCCCCTTTCCCGGCCTCCGGATCAGCCCGGGCTGCCGCCCGAAGAGATCGCGGCGCTGTTTGCTCCCTGGAGGGAGTTGTCGGAGAGGGCTGAGTGACAAGTAGCTGCGCCCCGTTTCTCCTCGCCCTTCCGATCGCAGGCCAGGATCTCTTTTCTGTCAAGGCCTCGGTTCCCCCGTCTTCAAACGACAACAGTGGTCAGCATTCATTCATCCGCCTTTTAACTTCAGCTTGCAGCACCCGCAGCCACTGGCCAGCGCCTGTCGCGGCTGCTCCCCGCCGCTAATACGGGGAAACCTGGTATTTGGAGAAGAGTTCGTTTCATAAATCATCTTTGTCCTGGGGGTGGGGGAGGGTGGGGAGCATAGTCATCTACACTTAATTGTTACCATTTCCTAGTCGTGTCAGTTCTAAACACGAGCGGCCTCCATATCGGTCTTCTGATGGATTTTGAAAATCCTTTTAAAATGTAGTGTTTATTAACTCATCTAGTTAAAAGCCTAAAGGCATATGAAAGGGACTGGTTACACTCTGAATAAATATATAAGATGTTAGTACTGTGGTCATTGCTTCATAGATGCCCGAGTTTAATCACTCCAGAATGATTGATTCTGTATTAGAAAATAAAATAATACAACAAAGTAATTAGATTTTGATGTGCTGTTGATTCTGTTAGTTTCCTGAGTTTATAAAATATAATATATCTGATGCGTAGTGATAATTGAATCTGTTTTATTCAATAGAAGAACCCTAAACTTACTATTGTGTCCCAATGTTCTTCTTTGTAGTTTGAAACTACGTATATTTACCCAGAAGTGGTTTTAAAATGTTTTATTAAGTATATTACTACCCTGCTTTTGTTCCATGGAGCTTAGAGTAGGATAAATTGTTTAATAGCAGACCTATGAAATAAAATAGGATGAGGTAGTGAAGATCCAAGGTCACCCAGTGATTTTTACGGCTGAGTGGAGAGTTGGTCCCAACACACCATGCTAACTCTTTGCTTTAATAGACCCATGGTTCATGCACAGTTCTGATAGAAAGTTTCCCCCCTCATTTATGGGGAAACATTGCCTATGTAATTTTTTCCCCCAACATCTTTTTTCAAATTATTTTATTTTTATTTTATTTTACCAGTTGCAAATTATATTTTGTAAGTTGGGTAATTGGGATATTGACCTTCAGGTAATGATTTCAATTAAATGGATTTTATTGTTATAATTTTTCTTCTATGGTGCACTGAATTTTTATATTCTTAACAGAATTGTAGATGCCGCTGAGTGAGGAAACTAATCCAAAGAGATTCTGGACCATAGAAGGAAATACTTTTTCAGACACAACATAATTAATCACTGTCAGTAGGTGTAGAATGGGCAACCAATATAGTTGGATTTAAAAGGGGATTGAACAAACAGAATAAATGAATATTAATGCTAATAGCATTTAACCACTCCCTTGGCTGTAGGTAGCATTCTTTATAAACTAATTGCTGAGAATAAGGTAGTAGAAGGAGACTATCATTCTCCAGAATGAGAAATGAATCAAATTGGTCATTTATGTGTCAGAGCATGCTGTACAAGGTGAGCCTCGAGCCTGATCTCACAGGGCTTTTTTATGTTCATATGTATAAGCAGGAATAAGTTTTACGAAATTAAAACTGGCATCTAAGCGAGGATTTCAGATGTTATATTATCTTTCATAAATTTGTTTAGTTCATCCAGTGAATATTGATTCAAAATATTTTATGACTTCCTACCCAAGGAAACAGTTTCTTTTTTATTTACCTATAGAAAATTTTTATTTAATTATCTCTAGTATTTTTATTTTGTTCCTTTGGATTTGAATGTTTCAAATTTTTTAATTTAGTTGGCTGTTATATTTCTGTATAATGGACTAATCTGATTTGTAATATTTGTACATATCCGATTTTATTTTTCATATTTTGATTTTTAAAAGCCTTTGAATGTCCTATATATATATATTGAAGAAAACTAAGGATTGCATTATGAATATCCTATTTTAATGTTCCATTTATTTCTAATAAAATACATATGCAGCAAAACTACTGTAAATCTAATTGATCTTTATGGAACTTAATTCCAAACATAGGGTTACATTGTTAGCTTAGTATAGTTTATGTCCATCAGGAAAAAGATTTTTTCTTAACTAACCTGGTCAAGTAGTGAATAGCCTATATACTACTTAATGTAATCATACTCCTAATCTACAGTTTTCAATTCAATCCCTATATCCCCTTCTGTTGTTTGATAGTTATGGTTTCTGAGGAAGAAGAGGAGATGATTACCTCAGCGATGAGCTCTCCACTCCTCCAGAAGAAGAATTCTCTGGCTGGGTCACTAGATCAGATTCCAAACCGAATAGGAACCTCACTCTCTCCTGAATCTTCAAGCAACAAGGCAGACTCCCAGGATGCCAAATGTGAGTCTACCTTCTCTCACAGTTGCTACTGAACCTCGTGTCATATCCATGATGGAGAAACTCTTCTCTGTGCCTCAGCTTACTTTTAATACATATTGGATCACTTATAACTTGTATAAAAGATGTGTAGAGTGAATATTAATTATACATTTTATTGTCCAATATGGAATTTTTTATTTATCTAGATAAAATATTACAGAAATAAATCTATAAAACACTTTAAAATGTTTATGTGTAGAATAGTAAAATAGTTCTACTAATGCTTTTATTCTAATGGTCTGTAAAGTTACTTCAGGTGACCCTTCATCTGAATATCAAAAGAAAAACAAATTTCAGGAGATTATGAAACCCACCTCAAATTTTGCAAGTAAGATTTAGCAACCTTACATATATTGGATCTTTTAATTTTTTAAAATGTAATTTTTAATTTAATTTTGGAATACCATAGATGATGTTTGGGTGAGTCAGTTGTAATCTTTAAATGCTGCTGCTGCTAATGTTAGTAGCCTACTTAAAGGAAAGAGCTGAGAAATGCTGTTCCTTGTATTTTCATGCATTTTAAAAATAATTTAAAATTGTATGTGAAAGTAATAGATTGTTTGTTCATTATGAGAATTACCATTCATCTAACTGAAGTATCCTTTTTCAGATATGAATTGCTGACCATAATATGCGTAGATACTTAATGAGACTCAAAATATTTTCTCATTGTTATAAAGTGTAGCCACAAATCTTTTTGTATGTACAGAGATGTAGTATGATAATAGAAGATGTCTGTAGAATTATCCAATCCTGCACTACTGGCTAAATGAACAATACTAGAACAGTGCACTGTGCCACATCTTTACTGAACACGTTGAATCAATATTTATGTTTTTTTCTTAGAAAAGTAAATTTTAGTTTTAGGATTACCACCTTCTTAAGTGGTAAATTGAATTAGATGTTCCAGTCAATATATCAGGCTTCTACAAATAAGTTAACAATCAAATATGAGTCTAAGGTGTTCTCTATAAAAAGGAGAGTTCACACAACTGGAATCTGCTCTTCCTGATCCAGGTTTGTGAAAATAAATCATGTTCTGATCAAGAGTTCTACAGACTTTGGAAAAGGGGTTGGTGATGACTTTGTGGATGAAAATGGTATTGAAATCATTGCCAAAGTTATTAGCCTCTGTCAGAGCATGACCAGGGAGATAGCATACAGATTGAAAAAATGTACTCTAGTATCATTATTGTTATTCTCAGGAGTGGTCCAGCAGAAATTACCCTGAAAACAAAGTATGCAATGCTATGGGAAACTACAAAGAGGTAATAACAAAGGATCTATGAGCCATTCTTGCATTGTCTCTTATCAGCGTTTCTGAGTCCATCATAATAAAAAACAATGAACAAGTGTTTACACAAATGAGACTACAGTGGAAATGTTTGCCACACATGAGAAGTATTACATCTGGAAGGAAGAAAACTGCATTCCAACAAAGAAACCTGTCCCAGCTATAATTATGGTAGCCAGATAATCATTTGCAGCTTCTTTGCAGCTTCAGAATCTGAAAGTCTGGCATTCATTGATGGAACAGTAGATTCTGGATTGTGTCAGCAAATTCTACAAAGAAAATTTTCGGATACTTATCTTTGAGCTGAAATTTAAACAAATGCAGATCATGAAACATGATAACCCTAAGCAACCAAGAAATCTACTTGGGAGTGGCGGAAGGAGAAGACATTTTATATTGGAATGACTGGGCCTAAACCCTGACCCTAATTGAATCTTGTAGGCAAAACAACTTCATATATGAAGCAAAACAACATTACAATGAATTTAAGTAGCTTTGTAAAAAGAAGCTGGTGGAATACTTCAAAACTGATATGTAGGACTCATCAACAGATACAGGAAACTTTTTGTTGAAGTCATTGATATTATAGGAAGTACAACCAGTTATTAAATCTAGAGAGAGTGAGTGTTGATTCAGTGTGTTCAATGGAGATATGTGTTGTTTGTTTAGCCAGAATATCTATCAATTAATAGGAACTAGATAAGACTCAGATCACATTGTAGGTCACAATGCTTCCAGATTAAAATATAACTTGAGGATTCTTGAAGTTTTTTCATGATTGTATGAAGTTTTATTTTGCAGGAATCTTAAATATTGATTTGTATATTCACTCGTATATTTCTGAAACATAGACAAGGTACATAGACAAGATTGAGACATAGGCAAGTCTTTTATTTTATTTAACATAGCTAATCAATAGCTATATTTCTTTAAAATATTTTGCTTTGCTCTTCAGTTGAAAACAATTAAAGAGTAACTTAAAATATAAATAAAAACAAGACATTTCCCTTCCAAAAGCTTATATATTAAAACACAAAAGGAACAGGGGATAATTAGTTTTGAGCACCAATTCTTAAAATTATATCATATTGTTATGATGGGCAGTTTGAAAGGAAAGGTCCAGGAGAAGAAGAGACTGATAGATTTGATCCCTCAGTAGATTAGATGGAATACTATTGACACGTGAGGAAGAACCTATTTTCATCTCTCCCAACTGCAGCTTGATATAATGGAGTTCTATTTACTGCTGTTTGTCTAGCAACAGATGAGAAACTACATTTGCAATATGTTATGAAAGTATAGTAAGAGTTACAGTGTTGTGTTAAGATTGTTAGGCAGAGTGGGGAATTGATCCTGTGTGATTTTTAGGATGTAGTTATGGCAAGGCAGCTGAAACCAGTTTATGTTCGAACATGTTTCAGAGTGATGGCTACACGATGGATGAGAAGTTAATCTTGATTTGATTTTTGCTGAAGAAATTTGCAACCACCACTTATCATTTAGCAAATTTATCTGTTGCAAAATAGACTTCAGAAATCATTTTCTTCAGCTAAGTCTGGCTGTTTTATGGAGAAGGGTCCCAAACAGGATAACATAAATACATTTCGGGTCTACTGAGTAGTAGCAAAGATAGTCTAGGGCTAAGCTTAACATTGTCTCAATAAGTCACTCTCCTCTTTCCAGCACCAAACCTCACGAAATGTGAGGTCTGTGGCACCTGCTTCGAGACCCGCAAGGGCCTGTCCAGCCATGCGCGTTCTCACTTACGGCAGCTTGGTGTGGCTGAGTCTGAGAGCAGTGGAGCTCCCATCGACTTACTTTATGAACTGATGAAACAGAAAGGAAAAATGGACAGCAGCCCCGTCTCTCCAAGTCTTAGCAAAAAATCTGCCTCTCCCAAAGAAAGGTCTGCAGGGTCCTCACGGCCCACACTGCTGCTGCCTCTCGACAAAGCTTCGGAAAGGTCACAAGAGCCACCTGTAAACAAAGCAGTCAAATCCCCTCCAGGTTTCACCCCCAAGAATGTTTCCCAACCAGGATCTCCCATACTCAAGAAAATGGCATCTGCTCTGCCTGGTTCTCCTCCACAAAAGAACCCTGAAGACAAAAGCCCCAAGCTACCGTTGGGCCCTCTGCAGAGTCCACCTAAAACACAGTGGTCACAACTGGAGGAAGAAGGCCCTTTAAATCTAAGTGAGTCTGTTTGATCCTGATGCTGCTTGCAAATAGGAGAGCTGGCTTTGCAGGTTGCTACTGCAGGGAGCTCTTGACTTCCACATTATCTTGTAGTGTGAACCCCTGCAGGATGGCCCACTTAGGAGATGCATTTTACCACTTTTGGCTTTACTTGGGTTACTCCAGTCACAGACATCGCAACTTGTGTACGTTATAGTATTGTGACATGCACCCTATGTGTGAATAAGACAAATAGGATGCATTTGGTCTGGTGCAAAGATTTCTGTTCTAAAAGAACTACTGACTTATAGTTCGATTAGATGGAATGTTTTTCTTGGAGTATGTGGGTCTTGCTTTTTAAAAAAATCCCTAAATATTTCATCTCAGCAAAAGAGGCAATTCTGTGTAATTTAGCAGTCTCTTTGTCCAGCTTATCCCTAGGAGGGTTGATCATACTTACACAATTCCAGGTTGTACTACAAAGCTTTTGTGTGTGGCTTTTTTAAAATTTGTGCCTAAACATCATGTGTATTTATGGTTGGAACTCAACAATATTTCTCCATTAAAGGGCCAGCAGCTATGAACACCATCTGCTTCCTTCTAAAATCTTGAACAAAGTTACTTTACCTTTGAAAAAAATGTATTACATTCTTAGACTACTGGGAAGAAATAATCATTAAAATACCTAATAATTATAGAATACAAGATAGTACTTTAGTGCTGCTGGTATTACTAGTTTTCTGACTGAAGAATTTTTTCTATTTATTTTACACAACAGCCCTCCCCGTATTATATGCACATTTTTCCTTTTTGCTGTATTTCTTGGGATTTATTTTAAGATTTGTGGACTTGTGACTCATAATGGAACTTCTCTGATCTGAAACTAATTTAGCATATAATTGTGGCTTCACTATTCAGGGCTAGGTCTGTTCAGCCTTTTGGTGAAATCTGTAGAAACGGTGTAAACCATCCACTATTCTTCTTTGATGTTATTTTGCATTGGAGAGTTTTTAGTGTCTGTGCTATTGATATAGCCTTTTTCAGCTCTTCACTAATTGTTGCTGGTTGGTTACAGTGAGTTTCATTTAGTTTTGCATATAGGCTGAGGTAAGTAGAATTATAAAGAAAGAGCAGTTGTCTGATGGGTTTGAACAAGGATTCTAAGAGAATTTTTTTTTCTTGTAGGAAGTGGATAAGGCTTCTATTGTGGTAATTTTCATTGTTGTATCAGCAGTCCACAGCATTACTTTTATGTAAAATGTATTTCAACCTGATATGTTCATCCCATCATTGAATGCCATACTAGTTTCACTGACTAAAAATTACATAATGTATCCAAGTACTGTTTGTTGCTTTTTATAATGAATTTAGGGCAGACACACTGTTCACAATGTAATAGTTTAACTTTAACATATGCACTACAATTCTTAAATATTGTGCAATTCTGCATCAGTTATAACACTTAAGAGGTTGCCAAGACTTTAATTTTCCAATCCTGCTCTGAGCTATTACTCATCTCTAAAGGGATGTCTTGCCTAGGTATTTTATGTTCTAGAAACCTATGCTGTCTTTATTTTAGATGAGGAAATTTCAAATATTATTTTGTCTTACACACCCCATAGACGATTTTTAAACTAACTTGTCATTTTCTTTATGGCTTATATAGCTTTTCTGAACATTCATGTACATTTGTCAAAGGCATAAATGTAATTAATTAAAATAAGTTCTTAAAATATTAGTTCTGCAAAATCCAACTAACAACTCCTGTCAGTTTTATATTTTGTAATTCATAAAAGGCATAGCACTGAAAGAGGTATGTCAGTGTCATTCTCAATTCATCTTATTTTGAAGTCAAAATAAAAGCTTATTAAATAAAAAAGTTTCTAGTAACTGGACAGATGGGAGAAATGAGTTCTTATGGGAAGAATTCCAATCAGTTGAATGTCATTTAGCTGAGCTGACTATATTGGTAAAGAGCTTCAAGTCATGAAATATTAGGCAAATACAAATAGTTCTCTCTGCTATCTGATTTTTCTGATATTTGGAAATCTGACATTATAACTAACTTTTTATTATTCCATTCTCAAAAATTACCCATACTTAAACATCTGTTGGTTTAAGCTGAGATAGAACAAGCCTATGCATCAAAAAAGAGAATTTTGTTGGAAAAATTGACCTGGGTCAGTGAAAGGAAATGTTAAATATCTCTTCTGCAAAATTGTCTGTTTTAACTATTAAATCTGCAGCTGTGCTATGGTGAATAACAAGCCTCTTCTTTGGAGTTGTATATCAATTATTCCTATAGATAAATATTTTTTTAACATACCCTTTCTAAGAAACGAGTCCTTTAGGGAAAAGTCCTCTTCAGATTTTAAAAGGTGCTTGAGACACATTATTTCTGTAATCGTATGTCTTGTGATCAATGTTTTCTTTTTCCGCAGCTGTAGATAGTGACTCGGGCAGAGAAATTGACTGCCAATTATGTGGTGCTTGGTTTGAAACCAGAAAAGGGCTGTCAAGTCACGCTAGAGCCCACCTGAGACACCTGGGAGTGAGCAATCCAGATGCTAAAGGATCTCCTATTGATGTTTTAAATGATCTCATCAAAAATGAAGACTTCAAAGGCCGTCTTTCCTCTCTCATCCATAGCGAGAGAGACTCATTAGGGGAGATTGGGAGTTCTGATGGACACAGCCCAAAGAGCACAGCTACAGCAACACCTACCACAGGCATGAAACAAGCACACTCACCAAGGCCTTTGGGCAAACAGCCATCTATACTCTCACCTCACTCCCTTCCACCATCCAAGAAGCTGAAGCCACATGGGCACAGGCTGTCACTTGTGGCCAGTCTACAAAGGAAACAGGGTCTTTCTTCCAGTGCGTACTGGGCATCAGATGCTGAGATGGCTCCACTCAATCTCTGTAGGTTCTATCAACACTGGCTATTGTCCCTTCCCCCTCTCCCCATTTATGTGACATGGAGCTGTGCACTTAGAAATGCAGACCTCTTGTCATTACCTGCCTTATGTCTTATTTAACCAATAATGGGGTGGAGAAACATACTTTTTGGCTTGCATTCTCCATTGCGCTTCCTCTTCAAAGCTTTTTCTGAGTGCTACATTAAAGCTTTCCCAGCTGCCTTTGCATATATGCTGAAGTTACCCATTCCTTCTCTGGGCATTTGATCCGAATAGATAACTAATCCTTGACCCAGATAGGACCCAGCAATATGCTTGATTTCTATGCACTTAGAAATATCAAAAGACAAGTGTGGACTCCACATAGTTTGTTCCTTATGGAAAGGGAAGATTTTTTTATTTTATTTTTGCTATTTAATTTTTTTTTCTTTTGCAGCCTGAGCCTTTTTGTGGCCCTGGATTGGTTTCTGACTTCTCCATTTTGTAGGGCTCTCACTGGCTGTATTCAGTCTCAACAGGATATTGACTACCAATATGTTTCTCTTTGACACATAAGAGATTAGCTTTTAGAGAACTAGGATGAAGATTGTTTCTTTTGCCATTTATATCAGGACTTTAACTAATGCTTTAACCATCCCATATCAAAGATGAAGGAGAGTAACTTCAAGGTGATTAAGATCATAGCTGTTTTCCTCCCTTAATGTAAATAGATAAAACCAGTCAAAGGGTAGCTTCCTACTGGTGATTAACAATTGTTTGATAGCCACAAGCATTCCATATTTAATGGCATATGGCATATTTAATGGCACCTCTTTGCTTTGATGGTTCTGTATTAAAGACAACTGCATGGGAGCAAATAAAGGACACTTGGTTTCCCCCAAGCTTTCTGGGGGCGAATTCTTTGACAGGGAGACTTATGTAGACATTGAATGATGGGATGGAAAATATAATTATTAATTTATACTTTGGGATTATCTGATCAAGTGTACAATAAGTCAGTGTGCTTAATCTAGACGGGGGGGCTTTTGTATTTTAACAATGACTGTGATAACTGCCATGGAAATGCCTGAACTTCTTCTCTCAAAAGGTGAATGAAGTTGGATTAGAAGGAAACTGTACAACTGTGTTACGCTTTCACATTAGACATTATCTTGTATCAGCTGTATTCACCCTTTTTTAATTGGACATTTTCTGCTGTTCTCAGTTCTTTGTCCATATTAATAGGGAGCCTTGCTTTAACCATATCTATCCTAGATTTCATGGTATTTTGTTGGAATTATTGGTGTTTAATTTTTTTGGCCAAATTTACTGAAATACCAGCTTTGCTTATGAAAAAACCCTTGCACTATACATCTGCTTCGTACTCCACATTGGATGGGAATACATAGTTGGTGCCCACATCCTCCTGCTTTTTCCTGCTCATTTTTTTCAGTCACATTAATTTATTGGTGGTTCTTTCTTTCTTTTATTCTCAGCTTCTGGTGCAGAACCTGTGCGGGACATCAGATGTGAATTCTGTGGGGAATATTTTGAGAATCGCAAAGGGCTCTCCAGCCATGCCAGATCCCATCTACGTCAAATGGGAGTAACTGAATGGTATGTGAACGGTTCTCCAATTGACACACTCCGAGAAATTCTGAAAAGGCGAGCTCAACCTCGGACCAGTACCTCGAGTTCCCCAGCACATAGTCAGAAGTCAATTACCCAGTCTGTTCTTGGAGGCTCTCTGGAACCCTGTAGCCCAGGAGAAAGCCACATGCCTGGGATCTCTAAGAAGGCACAGCAGCCAGGGAGCCCTATGGGGCACTCGCCTACCTCTTCGCCTCCCCCAACTGCTAGAAAAATATTCTCTGGGCTTCCTTCTTCTTTGCATAAGAAATTGAAGCAAGACCAATTACGAATGGAAATCAAGCGGGAAATGATCTCTGGGGGACTTCATAATGAATCACATCTATCTGACAGAGCCTGGTCACCACGGGAGGAGATGTCTCCACTCAACCTCTGTAAGTGTTAGTCATGGGTATTGGATGCCTAGTTGTGTGATGCATGTCTGAGTGGAACCAAATGTCATAAGCTTTTTCATTTTTGTTTTATTAAACAGTGAATTTTGGATAACGAGCCTGCATGCCGTTTTGACAATTTTATCTTTGTATGCAAATGTATTTTATACTGTGGAAAAGGATCATTTTGTTTTTGACAGTTTCTTGATAACCTTTAAAACATTTAGTAATAGGCAAAATACAGGTCCAAACACCCAATCTTTCTAGAGTAGCTATTCCCCAAACTGAGGCAATTCCTGATGCCTATAAATATTAGAATTCTCCAATCAGCATATCACTTGCTGACAATTCTGATCCTCAGATCTAAAAGTTGGCAATATTGGAGGACAGCTATCCTACGAGTTGCAAATGGTTGAAGCATAAATATAGACATATAGACAACGTTAGATCTTCCCACCCTTATATGACTACAGCATAGAAATAATTAAGAGTGTTTGGAGAGGTTTGGTTTACTGCTATTTCCTCGTTTGTTAAACATTTTCTGTGTGTCTTTATCTAAGCTGCTCGTGCAGACCCTGTCCGAGAAATTCGTTGTGAATTTTGTGGCGAGTTTTTTGAGAACCGGAAGGGGCTGTCCAGCCATGCCAGGTCTCACTTACGTCAGATGGGTGTAACTGAATGGTCAGTTAATGGATCTCCCATTGATACACTACGTGAAATCATAAAGAAAAAGAACAAGCCGTGCTTGATAAAGAAGGAGCCAAACACAATGAGCATTGAGCTTCCCACAGCTATGGGAGACGATGATCCTAAATCACCTGGAAAAATTCTGCAGCCCATGACATTGTCTCCACTGGGCGGAAAGACTGGAAAACCAAATCTTGGTCGGGATATGTCCTTGTCACTACTCAAGTCACAGGAGGGATTCCTGGCACCACTCTCTGCTAAACGGCCACTATCAGATGAACGACTGGGTGGCCATGAAATGAAGCATAAAACCTATATCCAAACTGAATTACCATTCAAAGCCAAGCTCTTGCATGAAAAGCCCACTCATACATGTAAGTGCTATCGAGGTACAGGGAGGGGATTTGAGTGGGATTCAGATAAAATTTGGAAGTCTGTGACAGCGCTTTTCTTTGTGAAATTGAATTTTGCTTTCTGACTTGGTGGAGTGAAAAAGATGGGATGATTAAATAGTAAGCCAGGCAACAAAGGCATAAATACCTCTGGGTATTTTATTTTGTTATATAACAACTTCAAGCCTGTAGTAGTAGTATACTTAGCTGTTTGTATAAGCTCTTTAGTGCAAAGCATTATCTATTGGGCTAGTTTTAAGGTGTATAATTGTGAGCATATCTTTCTTCCTTTCTGTATGTTTAATTCTCCCACCCTCTCACCATGGTTGGTAAAGAAGTTTCATCATTTGCAGAAGTGAGTATTAAGCAAACAAATAAATAAACTACTGTATTTCAACCATAGCTCCATGCCCTCAAAGTGGCCAAAAGTATTTGCAGCATAACTGTTTTCTTACAAAGAATAGTGAGTTTACTTAGCTTGTAAGTAGGAAGTTAAGAGTCAGAGAAAACAGTGCTATAGGGATTTCAAATAAACTTTTCAAAAGCCTTAGTCTTGAGTGATATTTAGGGAGATATGGAAATCATGAAATGGAACAGGTAAGGATATCATTCAAATCCTGAACTGCTGATTAAGTCCTTTATTGAGGATTTTGCTCAGTCTAGCTCCCTGCCTTTTCTGCTTCCAGCCAGTGAAGCCTGCTGTGAACTCTGTGGCCTCTACTTTGAGAACCGCAAAGCACTAGCCAGCCATGCTCGGGCACATCTCAGACAGTTTGGAGTAACTGAATGGTGTGTGAACGGATCCCCAATTGAGACTTTAAGTGAGTGGATCAAGCATCGCCCCCAGAAAGCTGGAGCCTATCGCAGCTACATCCAAGGTGGCCGGCCCTTTGCAAAGAAGTTCCGCAATGCTGCTCACCTGCGTGATGGTGATCCCTCTGGGAAGAGAGTTGCTCTGAGCCTGCAGGCAGGCAGTCCTTCACTGATGAGCAGAAGCCTAAGTGGGGAGATGATGCTAAACGAGCACAGTAAAGCTGTGGATGGTTGTGGCAGCAGTGAGCGACCTGCAATCACATCTCCTTTGTCGCTTGTAAAGGTGGAAGAGCATCATCAGCATAACATCAACAGTGAGTCGTTGCTCTTAGATTGCCAGCAGAAGATACATTGCAAAACTTGCTGGAGAGAAAGGCCTTGGTAGAGGAGGCACTAGCTTCCTTGTGGGGTGGTGGGTATACCGGCAGAGATTTGAGTGCTCATAGTTTGTAAATGCCTCCCTGCCTGTGCCTGATGGTTCAAATGGTTTGAGTAGTTCCAGCAAAAGACTCACGTAAGGTTAATTAAGAGACTGTTAGGTTAAAAGTTCAGATAATGTTGTATTCCGAAATGGGCAGAGTTGTTTAGAAAAATCTGACCTGACTTTCAGACTCCCTTCATTTTCGTACCCTTTCCAACACTGACTTTCCTAAACACATTTAATATTCAAAAAGTCATTTTTATTCAACCTCTATCTCAGCTGCAATTGATTTACTATATTCCATCACACTTTCTGAACTGAATCTTTCTCTTTGTTAGAGTTTGAACGGAGGCAGGCTAAGCCCATTGAGGCTCCTCTACATAGAGAAAATGAATCCACTGACTTACAACAGAGGGCTGAAGAGGTCCGCCAACCAGCCCCCAGAGTAAGACCAGTGCCCTCTTTGGTTCCTAGGCCACCACAGACTTCCTTGGTGAAATTTGTGGGCAACATCTACACGCTAAAGTGCAGGTTTGTCTCATTCTTCTATTGTATTAATTCCTGAATTCACAATATTAATCATGGGAGTATCTGTGGCTACACCATGCATCTGTGTGACCTCAGACATTTTTTCTTTTTTGAAACTTCTTTAGAAACAAAGACATAAATTGGGAATCTCAATTGATTTTTTGTATATATATAAAGTTTCACTCTTTGGCATTCAGACCGACACCAATAGACATTATGTTCTTTCTGCAGATTTTGTGAAGTGGAGTTCCAAGGACCCCTCTCCATCCAAGAGGAGTGGGTGCGCCATCTTCAGCGCCACATTTTGGAGACTAACTTCTCCAAGGCTGATCCGTTGAGAAGTGGGACTGATATGCCTGCAGCAGCACCACCTGTAGCTGAAGCCCAATAGCAAAGCTCTTAGGAAACACCAGCATTCCAGGCTTTCTGCCTTACATTTCCAAATGTACAAGAATAATGTTGAACAAATAGGGGTGAACACAACGTTTGTTTTTCTGGGTTCTATAGTTTCGCTACAGAGTCTAGGTATTTGTAGACTTATTTTGGACTTTAAGAGGCTAAGAGAAGAGTCCAGATGTTGAGCACTAAATAAAACCATGTTGGGTTTTTTTGGGAGATGTCCTTATTGACAGCAGTGGCATTCCACACTAGAGCTTCTTGTGTGTGTTCTGTCTGCACAGAGGGAGGATGTTTTTTTTTTAAAAAGCAAAAAAGAATTGTCCTTAACCTTCCAGTAAATGCAAGTTTTTCCAAAGACACACTCTCCTTACAAAGAGAAAACATGCACTTGCTCTGTTGCAGTTCATGCTGTAGAAGATGTTTTGGTGAGAGTTATGAATATGAGGTTTTAGTGAAAGTTGTGAACATGGGGGGTCATTTTGAGCCCAAACATAAACTGGGAGGGTAGAAGCAGAGCTAATTTGCTGTGTGGGGAAAGCTATTGATTCTATATGTGACCTTAATATATGTTTGATTCCTTAGGTGACAAGTCTTTAGTTTCTGTGGACGTTGGATCCTGTTGTGCATGTTCACATCCTCTAATTGTGTGTAATGGGGTTCTCCGTCCCAGTACGTTATAGGGAAAATCAAGAACTCCTTGACCATATACGTTTGCCTCTTCCTTACTTCCTAATGTCAGTTGGTTATCCTTGTTTCCTGTGGAATTTTATATGTAGGCAATCCTACTCTGCAATACTATGGCAGTTTGATTTTGGTAGAGGGGTAAGATTCTCTTTTATCTTAAGCCTTGGGCTAATGATTGACCTCTGCCTAAAGATGACATGTCTTTCTGGCCAGTTCTGAATTAATAAATTATATCCAGGAGCGACTGAAGAACTTGCAGCACAGCCTTCTGAACTTCTTGTTAGAAGGGCTTTATGTGTTGCTTCCTTTCTAACAGGCACTTGGTGCAGTTCCCGGATCAGCAACAGTAAGTCCTACTGGAATTTCTGCTTTCCTGTTTTCGATTACTGTTGCCATCTTCTTTCTCTTCATTGAACCTCAACTTTTTAAACTCTAGTTTTGTGTAGAAATAATGAGCGTTTCTTTTTATTTGGAACTCAAGCTATCAAAGCTAGAAGAGAAATTACCTTTTAACTTTTTCAATAGGCATATTCTGGTTATTATTGTACCTAGGAATATGTATATTAGATTAAACTTCTGTTCTGGAAACAAAATGGAGAATCTGAATGTGTGCTTTTTGAGTCTTTGTAGAAACATATGAAAGATTACAAAAGAAAAAAGAAAAGTAACATGGAGTTTATGTAGAGGAAATTCCAAGAGTGAATATGGAAACAAGTTCGTGAAAAAGTCCTAGATCTTACCACCTAGCATATATTGAAGCATTATGTGCTTTCTCATTCTGCCTTTCTCTTGATGAAAAAAACTAAGCTTTTGAAAAATGTTGTTCGTTATCCAAGATATTTTCACAACTAATGTGGCTTAGGAGATTGTAAACTAAATTTATTAGGGCAATCAAAAAGATAATTAAAGTCTTGCATAATTAAGGGACCAGTAGTGTCAGTAAGCTCATTTTTATCACAAGGACATTTATTTTGAGATGTAAGTTTCCCCCCTTTGATAATTAAAATATTAATCCATGTACTTTCCTTTGATAGTTAAAATATTACTTCAGTTGTTTCTTTGGAATCGAAAATCAGTTTCCATGTCAAGGATTTTTTTTCCTCCGCAAAACAGAAAGCTACAATAACAAGGCAGCATAACCACTTAGGTGAGCTGAATACATTCCTTTGCAAAGTTAATTGTTGATTTCAGTTCAATTGCAAATTGAATAGTGAAAATCATTAACATCAGTGTGGTCATAACCAATGTTCCCTCTATTTTTTTTTTCAGTGTGCGCGGAAAAGTATAGTGTTTGAGTGGCACATTTTCATGCCTGAGCATCCGAGGGATGGCTTAACTGTACTTTAAAAAAAAAACACAAAATCTGGGCGCGGAAAAGCTTCCAAATGGGGCTTGAGAAAGAGAAGATTGTGGGTTACGGGGTGGGCGTTTAAAGCCATCGCGGGGAGTGCAGTGTTGGAGCATCAGCGAGGCAGTTTCCCTGATCTCTCTCTTCCCGCCCTCCCCGTTTCAGATTTGGAACATGGGTTTATAATCCTCTGCAGGCGCCGATTATAAAGGGGGAGGCAACCGCCATGGTGCCTGATCTTTCCTCCGGTTTACTCAGAAGTAAGTCCCAACGAGCTCCTTCTGCACTTTCCGCCTGGGGAGCAGCGAGAAATGTGCATACTTTATGTGGGAATAACTCCCTCTGAATGCAGGAGAGCGCTGAAGGGCAGCGCTTTCCCTAAGACACATGGGACTCGTGGAGGCTGTGCTCACAGCCACCTGAATTGGAAGAAACGGAGCCATTTCTGAACCTTCCCCCCCAAAAAAAGTCCGCTTCCACCCCCACCCCCCAGGTTGATTCCTAGCCGTCCAGGAGCTGCGTTCTCTGTACAGCCAGCCCTCCGAAGTCTTCGAGGGGCCTCGTTCCCAGGGAAGCGTGCCAAGGGCGTTTGCAATCTGGGGTGGCACGTGGGCTTGCAGCACCAGCCGCCACCGCTGCCTGGGTCCCCAGGTATTGGTCATTTTGGGGGAGGAGGAGGCTGGAGTAGGTACAAATCCCTCCCAGCGCTTTTTGCCTGGCGAAAGAGTTTGTGATTCGGGCTCCCGTCCTGGGGAGTGGAACTGGTGCGCGTCTCTATATAAAAGTTTCCCCGACTAGGCAGCCTCGGAGCTGGCTGCATCCCCACGATTGGCCCTGGGTTTGGTTCAGAGCTCATCAAGGAGACCCGACCAGCAGAGACGAGGCACAGCATGACGCTAGCAGATTCCATCAAATGTATATCATGCTGTGACATTAAAAATCACTGCGCGGCAGTTGGAAACTGCAGCGCTGCGTTTTCTTGTCACGTGTGCGGCTGCGCCGCCACGCAGCTTAGAGGGAACATTGGCCATAACCAGAAAAATAATAAACAAATCAAGATGCAAGCCCTCCTCCTCTATAATATGCATGCAATATCATAAAGGTAGTCCTCAAGATATAACTGATCACTTAAATTCAAGATACAACTGGCCATTCAAAGTTATGAGAGACTCCAAAAACTACTTATAACCGTCTTTTGAATTATGGTCACTGCAATGCCCTCAAAAATCATTTGCCCTTATGATTGACCACAGAAATATTGCAACACATACACACCACCTCTCTCCCAACATCCCACCCCACTGTGTACCCACATATCTTGGCGCTGCTCCCCTCCCTCCCTTCCCTTCCTCATTGCACACTTACCTTTTGAAGATCTGTGAACCTCATGTCCATCCCTGGACCACATGGCTGCCACCTAGAAGTGGCCACTATTTTCAGTGCGGCAACAATTCCTTGCAGAAATGGCAGCTGCTTCTGAAGCTTTCTGCCCCAATTATCTGGCAGTTGGGAGACTGCAGGCCTGTCCTCGTTCTTGCTAGGTTTTGAAGAAGCCAGTTCCTTGCATGCAAACGTGGCAGCTCCAGAACAAGCTTCCCAAAACCCTTTCCTTTCTGACTGCCAGCTGATTGGGGCAGAGGTCTAGCTGGATTCCTTCTTTTGGAATGGGAATCGGATAGGAGGAAACAGACAAAATTATATTTCTGTAATATTGAAAAATGCTATTCAAGCTTTTCAAAAGAAAAATACAAATCACATGAATTGACTTAGCTGTCCATTGTTTCTGAAATTCAGAAGAATCTGAGAATCTGTGAGAATTTTACCATGATCCTACGCAGGTTGTGTGCTTATATCTTAATGTAAAATCAGTTGCATTGACTTGCAGCAGTTACTTCTATAATGCATGTATAAACATTGCATAGGCTATAAACATTCTAATTAAATATAATAAAAGTTTACATTCTCTCAAATTTATTAAAATACAAATCCTAATGTCTCCATCCACCAGCCAGTAATCCTCAAGAAGGTGAGATTGTTTGAAATTAGATTCAGATCCAGGAGTCTCCCAAGGTGTATTTATTGCCCATAAGGTTGTCATGGAACAGGAAAGAACCTAGTTTCTGAATTTGAGAAATATTCAATGTCTTTGAAAAATGGTTTATGTATCACCACCACCCCCTCAAACAAACCACACTAAGTGGGGGAAGTCAAATCTTTATATTTGGTACAGAAACAAATGACACATATGTTTCATACATCAGCATTAATCAAACTATAAAAGCCATTGGTTAGAAATGAAAAACAAATAGACACCCTTAAAATATGTTGCATCTCTTCCCACCCAGGGAAAATTTTGGCTCAAAGAAAAAAACATGGTTTCCTAAAGTTCAAAAGAAGACGATGCTATGCTAAAGTGCTTAATATCACCTTTATTAAAATGCTAATTCCAGGCAATACATTCCCTATTTGTTTCTCAAAGTATTAATTTGTTAAATCACCCTTTAATTAATCAAGCAAGTGAACAGTTAACATTTGACATTGCATGGGATCTATGGTGGGAGTGTCCTGTGGGGCAAAACTAAGAATAATGGCAACACTGGGTTGTAGATATTGAAAGGATACACTGAAGAATACTAAACCTCCAAGAAAGGGAAGGGCAATCATAGCCATTCCCATAAACAGTACATGCTTCACCCACTCTAATCTATCATCCAAGTCCCAAGCATTTTGATCTCTTTGAAAGGTTTCCCTGTTTCTTGTCAGGGAGAAATTATTATAGTTAAATTCTGAAGCTCTGAATAAATTACATACAGACCCTAATAATTGCTCTAAAGCAGTGGTTCCAAAAGTTCATCAGGCAACTTCCAAGAGTCTGTCAAAGTCAGTAGCAGTTCATTTTCCCATCTGTTATAAAACCAGGCACTTTTTAAGCCACATGAAATCTCCCAATTAGAATGGATCTAGTCAACGCAGAACTATGGTCTCTACCACTGCTGCCTTCCAGAGCTCACTCTGCTGCTTCCGTAGGGCTACAAAGTTTCATCTCCTCCAAACTGAAAGAAACTTCTCAAAAACAATACCAGACAGAACAATAGCAATAGCAGTAGACTTATATACCGCTTCATAGGGCTTTCAGCCCTCTCTAAGCGGTTTACAGAGAGTCAGCATATTGCCCCCA